TCTACTAACCATCTCACACAACCATAAAGCACCACTGCAAACAGAAACAACCACTCCCCCATACACACATACACAATTACCGAGTCACTCTGATCACTCATTCTCTTTCACTCATCTCACATCCCTAGCCTCATTCCCAACTACTCACCTTTTTTACTTACAAATTCATTTGCTTATTCCTTAAAAAGCTTATTCCAGGAAGAAGGGTTAGGTGTGCAGATACCAGTAATCTTTGTGTCAAAGAAGCACATGGAACTAAGACTACACAAAGGTGTGAAGTGACGAATGACTGCAATATGTATTTATGGAGGATGAACTGTTCCCTTCCTGAAAAGACTGTCCTAATTCAGGCACTCAATTCTTTCCCCTTTGATCAGTGGTTTTCAAATATTTTTAGCTATGGAACCCAATACATAAAACAGACATAAGCAGAAGCTGCTCTGGCTGAAGTAAAGTGGGGTGGGTACAGTAGGATCTACCAGTTGAGCCCTTTCAAAGAAGTTTAGGGCTGTAAAAACCAGTGTGAAAAATCACTGCCCTAGATTAGTGGTTCTCCAAGTGTGGGTCAAAGGTCTCTAGGAGTCCCCAAGACCTCTTTCAGAAGGTCCATAAAGTCAAAACTATTTTCAAAAGAATACTAAGACATTATCTGCCTTTTTTTTTTTTTCTTTACTATGCTGACCTTTGCATTGAGGTACAAAAAGCAAAGGTGTATAAAACTGCTGTAATCTGAACACGAATCAAGACAATGGCCCCAAACTGTACTGTCACTGAATTCTTTACTGCCTGCCACCCACTTACAGTATGAAAAAAAACCCAAACCCACTTCATTTGAATGTCCTTGATGAAGAGTAAAAATTGTTGATTGTATTAATTCTCAACATTTCAGTACACACCTTTTTAATATGTGGTTAGTAAAAATGTGATTATTCTCTGGAATAAAATGGGAGTACTCAAAAGCACACATGCATATTGAAATACAAGAGGCGTTTCAAAGTAAAACACTTGTGTAATTACTTTTCAGTAGAAAGCTAAAACAGCTGAATTTTTCATTGAACGCCATTTTTATTTCAAAGAATGAATGACAAACTATGGTTATTCAGATCTGAAGTGAAAATGAGAATTCTGAAAACTTATGTCCATCACTATGAGGCTGTCAGTTTCCCAATCCTTAAAAAGACTTATCTGATGAGATAGGTGGAAATATTAACAACTGTATAATTAAATCTGTCCACATTTGGCAGAGCTGCATACCTCAGTGAACTAATGATTTCTAAATAACCAATGTATGATGTCATAAAATCATGCATGGGTAAATATCCATTCAAAGTCCAAGAACCAAGAGTACAAAAGTAAATCATATGGTTTCAGGTTCCATACTGCAACAAACCTTTAAAAAGGTTTGAGTGTAGTGTCAAAGAATACCTACAATTATTTGAAATGAAAAGGTTATTAAAACACTCCTCCCTTTTCCAACTACATATCCATATGAGGTTGGATTTTCTTCACATACTTCAACCAAAACATTCTATCAACTGTCTGAATGCAAAAGAAGATCTACACATCCAGTGGTCTTCTATTAAGCGAGACATTAAAGAGATTTGCAAAAATGTAAAATATTGCCACCCTTGTGACTAAATCTTTTAGTAATTTTTCATAACATTGTTATGTTAACACGTGAGTTTATTTTTTAAATCAATAACCCTTTTAAAAAATTTGTTTTAATTTCTTGTACAGTAAATACCAGTAGATACAACCCATATAAACGAAAGCTATTTGGAATCTTCAATAATTTTTAAAGTATAAAGTAGTCTAGAGACCACAAACTTTGAGAACTGCTATCCTAGACTACTGCCATAGCCTCCTTCTAATTCGTCTGCCTAACTCCAGTTTCACGTTTTCCAATCTACCCTACTACCCACCAGCTTAAACTCACTCTTAGTATCAGACTTAGCTAGAGCTTTATTTTAAGAAACAATTTTTACTTCTCTACTAAAAAATTGCAACTGCTTCACATTACACTGAATTAGGTACAAACTCTTCAATATGGCAAATAATTCTCAGTATTTATTAAATTCTCAGTGTTAGTACAATGGGACAAAACCTCTGGATCGATGCATATTTGTGTGGCATCAAGTACTGTGTATCAGTGAAATGAAAAGACAATGGAATTACACAGCATCCCACTTAATTACATCAATTCAACTACAAGCTCTTTTGCCCTCTTCCACAAAAATAGAGATAAATATTGCTTTATTTACCCAACGGCCTATCCCTTTTCAAACAAGACCTTGATTTCTTCTATCCCAGAGAACAGGAGGCTACTACATAAATAAAAGTAGAAACTAAAGAAAATAACTCTAGGACTCTTTTCAGCTCCAGAAATCAGATTTCAACAATTTAAGGGTTTTTCAAGGACAATGTTAACAAAATAAAGGTATGATTTTACTGAAATATTGAGAATGTTTCCTCTAGAACAGTGATCTCAAGCCGGGGCGATTCTGCCTCCCAGGGAACATCTGATAGTGTGTGGAGACCTTCTTGACTGGGGGGACGGCGGCTGGGGGGGGCATTAACAGGGTGTTATGGTATCTAACGGGTAGAGGCTTGGAATGCTGCTATACATCCTACAAAACACAAGACAACTCCCCTACACTAAAGAATTATTTGGCCCAAAATGTCAATAGTGCCGAGGCTGAGAAACTCTGCTCTACAGACGTACTGTGCCAAATACTTAGGCTCAATTTCAAATGCAAAGAATACACCAAATTCTCAGGAAACATTGTCTACACACCTTGCCTCTAACACCTACTGTTAAATCTCTAAATTTCTTAGTCCTCTAACCTTTCAACAAATTGCATAATTATGAATGTGCTCTTTATTGGAAATTAAACATCAGAACTATTACTCTTTACTTCCTAGGTTAACTGACACCATAAAAATAATATCACAATAAAATAGTATAACTTTTTTCAAGCTGTGAATTTGGTTCCCTAAAAGTTCTACTTGCTCTCAGCTATCTAGGAGCTAGCGGACATGAATAAAGTCAGGCACCAACGTATTATGTAATATACGAACGGTATGGGTCCTCTATCTGGGCCCTATATTCAGGAGCACACAAATGCCCAGACTCTTTATTGACTATTTTTAGGTTTAACTCCCCCATATTTGTTTATTTGTTCACGCAAACATGCTTACTGAGGGTCTACCATGTGCCAAGCAACCTGAATACAAAGATAAGACAAAAATATTTTCCCAGTCTAAAAAACAGACAAACAGCTAAAATACAAAATGACTTGTACTATAAATAGATGTATCAAATAAGTGTTATGGAAGCTTGCAGGGGAGGGAATGCCAGAAAAGGCTTCTCAGAAGAGGGTGATGCTTGAACTGAGAAAATGTCACCGTAAATATACCCTGTTCACGTCTTAGTATTTAGACTCCAGTTTTCTTCTGTTCTTACACACTGTTTTCCAGTTTTTGCTTGGTCATCTAAACAAGAGCAAAGTGACGATCTGACTGACGTGAATGGACCAAAGTGGCAACTAATTCGATTTCATCAAATGTTAATGAAGAGACAAAAAACAATTCTATCAAAGTATTTCCCAGTACCTCCGTCCTGTCCAAACTTCAGTTTTATTTTTTTAATATCCTAACTTCTGCCACTAAGTAAACATACCATCTGTCACTCAGTTAACAAGAGTTTTTCTCTGAATTTACAAGACTGTCACTGGGAATAGAGCACTGCTCTTTCTTTTTTTCTGCCAAAATTTCTTTTCTTCTTCCAAAATGGAGTTTAATTTTCTCATCTTATTCTACTACAATACTTGGAATTCTGTACCAGAGAGGAGCCACGAGTTCCAAAGTACAAGAACTACATAAGTGCTGCCTACTTTTCTGAGTCCCGTCTATATTTCCCGCTTTCTATTTCAATACTGTTGTGGGTCACCAACTGGACTCTGTCTTCTGAGTCACGAGGAGTTGACACAAACAAAAATTTTAGATTTGGAACAGGAAACTAGCCGATGACGTAGTTTGGTCGACTCGTTGCTAATACATAACATCACTGACAATTCTTTGACCAACTTTTAGGTTTAGGTCTCATAACCTAGGTCGGGGTACCACCGATGAAGCTTCTGCCTTACCATGAACAGAGCTGGTAGCTACTAAATCTCAAAAGCAACTGAAGACTATGTCTGCTTCTAACCACCAAATGCCCCCGCCGCCCCATCCAACCCCCCAAAGGGAACCTTCAGCGAGGGGAGCCTGGAGCACTCAGGGAGGGTGGTGTAGTAAAAAAATTTCTGGACTGTGTCAGATCTGGCATTGGCTAAACCAGTCCCTTCCCTTAGGCCTCGATTTCTCCATCTATAAAACTTGCACGTGATGTAGGGTAGGGGGATTGGCTTCATTTCTAAGGTCCTTATGGCTATAGTAATCCAGAAAGCCCATCTAGCTTCACACGGAACACGTGGGAGAACACAAAACAACCTTCTACTCCACCAAACTGACCTAACTCTCAGGCATTGTTTTAAAAAGCTAACAAACTCCCGACCCACCCGCCCTAACCCTCAGGCTGCAAATTTCCCCCGTGCAAAGACCAAGGCCAATAAAGCGCATGCCGCACGACAGTCAAGAGGTGCTGGGGAGGCCGTATTCAGGGTCTTCAGGCGCTGCCCCCCACAGGGCCGGGCCCACCTAACCACTGCCGGGCAAATGAATGAGTACAACCAGAGAGAGGGGCGCTCCCTCAGCGCAGGCTGCACCGGCAGACCCCCGGGCCCAGACGCCCCCGATACCCATTCCCCGCCAGCGCCCGAAGAGCCAGGCCTCGGGGCCGCAGAGTCGCGGGCCCAGCCCTCTCCCTCAGGGCAGAATGTGCGCGCGGGGCACAAGACTTCCGCGCGGAAAGGGCCTGGGACGCCCCGCGCAGCCGCCCGCCCTGAGGGGAGGAGGAGCCTGCCGATCACCGGCCGCCACCGTCCCGGCTCCCGACTTACCGCTGTCCGGGGGGAGGGGGAGGGGAAGTGTCAGGAGTGAGGGCCTAAGCCCGTCCGCCACCCGCCGCTCAGAGAGCAGCGCGCGGCCGCCACGAAACCGTCGCCGCCGCCACCAGCACCGACACCTACCGCCGCTTCGGGCGCAGCGCGCAGAGGGCCCGACTGCGTCACACGCCGCCTGCCGTCAGAGGCTCGCTCCGGGCGCTCCGCCCTCGCTGTCTGCGCATTGGCGGACGCCGCCGCCACTCTAGGCCCGCCCTGTTACTCATTGGGCACGAGTCTTTTGAACGCGAACGTGGGGGTGGTCTTCGGGAGAAGGGGAGAGGAGGAAGAGGAGGGACCGCAGGAGTTAGGGGGAGGAAAGGGGAGGGGCGGTGGGAGGCATGGAGTCCCGCCCCTCGCCGCCGCGGTTGGCTGGGAGGGAGTCGTGACGTCACATAGGGCCCCTCGAAGTGGGTTGGTGAGTGGCTACGTTGGGGTGCACGGGGCGGGGAGTGGGAGAAGAATGGTGATGCTATGCTGAGGCTCCGCCCCCCTCCTTGGACCGGAGAGACTCGGGCTGCTGAAGCTCGGGCCAATCAGAGGAAAGGCTCCAGGATGGCATGGTAACTATTCTACCCTTTCCTTGCCCCAGTCCGCGGGCGGTGATGGGAAGGATCTCCCGCCGTGTTGCCCGCACTTCCTGGCCAGACCGCGTGCGGAGCTGGAGGGCCCCCCCCGGGAGGTCCCTCTGTCCGGGTAGTTTGTCTGCAGCTCCTTTGAGGCTCTAAAACCTGGCCTCCTTGTCTCCTGACCCATGCCAGCCCCAGCACAACCTTTCCCTCTCTGAATCCCTAGAATAGACGTTATGAGCATTAGCAACGCCCTAAGGAATGGCTTATTACAGGGCTTGGTGCACATGAGGATTCTTGGAATTTCTTTCCTACCTGCACTTTAGGAACCCATACTTGTTCTTAAAGGCCTGGTTCAAACGTTCCCGTCCTGTCTGGGATACATTTGGCGATCTCTCCCAGCGTGTCGGGCTAATGCTTGCGCAGGCCTCTGTTACAGCCTTGTTACTTTGTGTTCTATTATTTTCTTTCCTATCTTCTGTGCCCGGGCTCTTGAACGCTACAGCTGCATTTTCTACGTGCTGGTGTTCCTTTCCTCTGGGGCCTAGCTCAGAGGAGAAGCCTGGTATTACAACTAGTGAAGGTTGAGCATGTTCTGGAAATTAGACTTAGGGTCCCACGCAGAATAGCAGGGACTGTGCTCAGAAAACGAAGCCTATTAGAATTACCCCTCCACCACTACCACCTCCTCCTGGAGCATCAATACAAAATTGAAATGGGCTCTGCCCAAAACGTAGGCAAACTTAAATCCTTCAAGGTTTTCAGTGGTGGCAAGAGATTAGAGAGAATTTGTCAAAAAGTGGAGTGGTCTTGAAGATAAAGGATAGGAGAAACCTGGTACATTGTAGATGCGCAGGAGATGCTTGAAGGAAGAAAAAAATAAATATATGGATGGTCAAATAATAAAGCTAGTTTGACATCTGACTCTAGACACCTTTCCCCAACTCCTCCATGTAAACATCTCCTTTTCCTCCACCCTCCTTTGTCTATGTTCTACATCAGAAAGTCATTACTCTCTCTGGATAGTTAGAGTCGCTTCCCCACTGCCCTCTTGAACCTTTGACTTCTCACCTTCCAATCCTCAAACCCAATTATGTTTAAGCCTCTCCTCTATTTATTCTGGTGCTCCTAAAGCCAGGCACACAGTATAGGTGCACATTAAATGTTTGACACATGAATGAGTGAATTAATTTCTTTTTTTTGAGGAAGGTTAGCCCTGAGCTAACTATTGCCAGTCCTCTTTTTGCTGAGGAAGACTGGCCCTGAGCTAACATCTGTGCCCATCTTCCTCTACTTCATATGTGGGACGCCTACCACAGCATGGCTTGCTAAGCCATGCCATATCCACACCCGGGATCCGAACCGGCGACCCCTGGGCCGTCAAAACGGAACTTACGCATTTAACTGCTGCACCACTGGCCGGGCCCATGAATTAATTTCTTAAGTAGAATAGGAATAGAAGTGTGGGACTTTGGGGGCTGGCCCCGTGGCCGAGTGGTTAAGTTCGCGCACTCCGCTGCAGCGGCCCACGGTTTCGCTAGTACATGGTACCTCTCTCAGGCCACGCTGAGGTGGCGTCCCACTTGCTACAAGTGGAAGGACCTACAACTAAAATATATAACTATGTACTGGGAGGATTTGGAGAGAAGAAGGAGAAAGAAAGAAAAAAAAAAAGCATGGAACTTTTGAGTCAGAGAACCCTGGGTTTAAATCAGAACTCAACCATGTGTTAGCTGTATGAACTTGGGAAAATTTCTTAACCCCTCCGAACCTTAGTTTCATTGTCTGTAAAATGGGGATAACTATACTTGCCTCATAGGGTTATGAGAATTAAATGAGATAAAGCACTTAGCATGGTATCTGGTATCAGTAAGCCTCAATAAACGATAGATATCATTTGTATTCTTTAAAAACGTCAAGGCATATCCATTCTAAGTAGTCTGAGATTGGATTCTGACACAGAAAAGGGGCTCAGAAATATGTCTTGAGTGAGTAACTGAGTACATTCAGTCCAAAGTACCAGTGGGTGTGCAGGAGATGGGATCCTTAAATAGTGCATACTTGTGGGAAGACTGGAGGGGGAGACATTGGGTGAAGCATACTGCAGGGAGGAATTTCCTGTGACCATGGTGATTTCTAAGTAGAAGGACCTCTTGTTAGGTACTCTGAGAAGCATGTGACCCACAAGCTCATCATTCCCAGGGACTTCTGCTCTGAGAAGAACTTCTTTATGGGCCATGGATTCCTGGACCCACGTACTCTAATCTGCCTAATTCACGTAATACCCCTTTTGGTAATCATTATCTTCCTTCTTCTCTCTAAAGACAAGGAGTTTGGTGCATGTTCACAAAAGCTTGCTGAGCCCAGCTCTGTCCTGGGCATCAGGAGCCCAGAGATGTCCACAGCTCAATGCTCTGGCTTAGCCAAGAGAGACAGCGCTAAATAAAGTCCAGCTCTGTCCTGGGAGCCCTCAATCTCTCACACACATGCCCTGAGAACTCACTCTATGCAGCTGTGGAGGATTAGTTCTCAGGGAGGAGAGGAGGAGACAGACCGGTGAAGACTGCAGAATCATGGAAGGGCAAGAAACTTTCTTCCAGAATGATGGTTCTAGATTTCTTATCTGGTGCATTGGAAAGAACAGAAGAGTTGGAATCAAGCAGAGCTAAGTTCAAGTCCTTGATCTGCTACTTTTTAGACCTTGTACAAGTTATATTTAATTGTTCTGTGCCCCAGTTTCCTTGTCGATAAAATGGGCACGATAATTCCTATTTTGTAAAGTAGTTGTGAAGGTCAAATAAGATAATGAAATTTGCAGAGGCCTGGGCACATGTTTGGTACATGGTAAGTACTCAGTAAATGTTGATTTCCTTCCTCTTTTCCTATAAATTGATAAGAGAGGGTGATGTTTATAAATAGCATGTAATTAGATTTTTATAAATCTTGTGCAAATAACTTTGACTTTTAACTAGAGCATTTAGTCCATTGCATTTAATGAATTTACTGGTATATTCAGGATTTTATCTAACATTTTATATTTTCTATTTGTCCCACCTGTTCAGTTTCTATTTCTCTCTCTTTTTTTATTTTCATTTTTTGTCATAATAAATGCCATTTATTGATGCCCAGCTCTTTGCCAGATTTTTTAAAAATTGAGATATACTTCACACTGTATAACATTCACTCATTTAAAACATACAATTCAGAAGTTTTTAGTATATTCACAATGTTGTGCAACCATCACCACCGTCTAATTCCAGGACATTTTCATAACCCCAAAAAGAAACCCCAGACCCATTAGCAGTCATTCCCCATTTCCCCCTTTCCCTAGCCCCTGGCAGTTACTAATCTACTTTCTGTCTCAATGGATTTGTGTATTCTGGACATTACATATATTTCCGATAAATGGAATCATAAAATATGTGGCCTTTGTGTCTGACTCCTTTGATTTAGCATAATGTTTTCAAGGTTCATCCATATTGTAGCATGTATCAGTACTTCATTCCTTTTTATGGTTGAATAATATTCCATGTTATGGATATACCATATTTTGTTTATACGTTCATGAGTTGAATGACATTTGAGTTGTTTTCACCTTGTAGCTACTATGAATAATGCTGCTATGAACATTCGTTCGTGTGCAAGTTTTTTTGTGGACATGTTTCAGTTCTCTTATATTTATGCCTAGGAATGGATTTGTGGGGTCACATGGTAGCTCTTTGTTTAGCTTTTTGAGGAACTACCAGACTGTTTTCCAGAGCGGTTCCACCAGCAATATATGAGGTTTCCAGTTTCTCTAAATCCTTGCCAACACTTATTTTCCTTTTTTTTTTTTTTAAATAGCCATCCAAGGAGATGTGAAGTCTCATCTCATTGTGGTTTTTTACATACATTTCCCTAATGACTATTGATGTTGACCATCTTTTCACGTGCTTATGGGCCATTTAAATCTCTCCTTTCTTGCAATCTTTTTGATTATTTCACTTTTTCTCCTATACCAGTTTGAAATTAAATTCTTTTTCTATTATTTTAGTGATCTCCCTAGAAATTACCACATGCATTCCTAACTTACTAAAGTGTCACGCTAATCAATACCTTTAGAGAAAGGGTAGAGTTTGTTGAGATGGAAGAAAAGCAGCATTCTAGGCTGGATGAACAGGGAGGACAAAGATGTGGGACCACGAAAGAGCTCAGTGTATCCAGGGTTGCAAACGGGAACTTCATACTAGAAGTGATAGAGAAGCCAAAGAAAGTTCTATAGAACAATGGGGATTTAATTACTATTTGAGGCAGAGTGGAGCTAGAGCAAGATGGGTGAGCCTAGAGTGACTAATTGAAAGCCACCCAAGAAAGGTGTCTCTGCCATGAAAAAGATCTCTGGGAAGAACAAAGAACAGTCCTCCTCCAGGCAGGAAAACTTTCCTGAGGCTGCCCAGGAGGCAGGGGCAGAGTTTAGCTGGATGTCTTTTGCACTGTCTATGTCCCTGCCGCTTTACCTACCCCCAGCCATGCTCACCCTGCCCCTACC